ATTAAGCGCCCCATGTATATAGATGCGGTTTTTCCATTTGTGGGCCCCATCTACAGCTTAATTGTGCAGCTCTCTAAATGAGTTTTGATTGGCACTGTGCTGTTTCCTATTTGCAAAAACCGACAAATTTCAAAGCAAAGGAACTGCACATTAGCATGCTCAGCATGCCAACAATTTTTAGTGTGTCTGTGTGCGTGTGTGTGAAATTTCCGTTTGTTTTTTATCTGCGAAACCCACTGACCCCGAAACGAAGCGTTACAAAAAATTGCTGCTGTAAATAAAAAAACTGAGGCATAGTAAAAAATTGCAAGTGCAGCCGGCAACAAGTTTGTAACAGAAAAAAAACCAACAAATACATTTAAGACACACAAAGAGGCCCGGCCAATGTGTCAGACTGTCAGCTTCGCGTCTCATGATGTGTGGTGTGGCACCACAGATGGCCCTGAAGCCGATCGTGAGTGTTAACATCGTGAAGATTGACTAACGATGTGAAATTTTAAATCTTAATATTCTTTACTATAATTATGAGCAATATGCGTACGAAAAGAGTGAAAGTCTTCATGTTTACTTACACACCCCAGTTGTTTGTATACAAAATTTAAAATAAAAAATATATTTAAATAAATATAAATTAAAATACAAAGTATGAATACCAATTATGTGAAGAAAACGCTGTGTGAATCAGACTTTCTCTAATATTTGCTTAGCTCTGATTAGATCGTAAAAATGGAAGAAAAAGTAGTAGAAGAATAAGAAACTGATTTACAGACATCAAGAAACTTAAAAATAATAATTTTTCTTTTATTTAATGTAACCATTTTCAAAAACTACTTGTCTTATAATACTATATGTCACTCTAAATGAAGCATTATTCGAACATTAATAGTACACTATTAAAGCTTGTATTCGATATAAAGAATTACTAAAATTATAATAATTTGTTCACTTAAAATTATTCATAGTACATATATACTTGTACATATATGATATTTACACTATTACCAAGATGAATATCATTTCTTCTATACAACTTATTACTTTATGCCAGCAACGAAATCCTTAGAGAAAACGAATTTGGTTTATAAATGACTACGATTAGATAAACATTACTTATATACAAACATATAGTTAGGTTAATGAAAAAATGAAGCCTTATTGAACTTATATTTTGGAACGAACACAAATCTGATTAATAAGTTTGTTTTGTTAGCACAATTCAGTCACGCGCCCATCTCTAATACGGCCTACCTATGTCTGCCATTTGGTTTGTCGCGCTGCAGGTGCCAAACAGACAACAAAGACAGACAAGAACCAACCCAACAACCAGCCAACAAACCAACCACGACTGCCTGCCACTTGTCGCTGCAGCTGCGTTGTGAAAAAGTAAAAGAAAAATTTAAGAAATAGCGAAAAAAAAACAAACTACATAAGATAAACAATTATTTATTGCATTTCTGCATAGGCCAGCACAAACATTTTTACATGTCCAAGACCTAGTTGGTCAAGTGCCAGCAGCTTGGCAGCTAATTAAACGTCTTTTTGGGCGCGTCCCATTAAACACATTTGACGGTACATTCAACTTTCGCATTGTCTTGCTTTCCTCTCTACCTCTCTCTCTCTCTTTTCCGCTATCTTCTCCCAACTTTACGGTATTTGTTTACTACCAAGCGACATTTTTCTTTAAGCGCTGTATTTTTCTTGTTTTTGTTGGCTTTTGCGGTTTTCCGCCTTGATTTGTTGTTATCTGCACGATCTTTTAAGCTTGCGTCGAGTTAAAATGGGGAGAAGAGGAAGAAGACAAAGACAATGACAACAACAACAACTGAAGCAGCGGCATGAACATCAACCCTCACGCCCGCACTTTGTTGACTTGCGCTGCAGTGTAAATGTCACTTTTATGTCTTTTTAATAATATTGTAAAAATGGTGAAATAATTGCTGGAAAGCCTGCTCTTAGCTGCTGTGGGTGCTTTTAGTCAGTTGTCACACACACACATATATACGTGTATATAAACCTTTCATACATATTCCTGTATGTATGTACATTGCAGGGTGCCATTTAAAGTGTTGTGTTTCTTCCGCATGGTGAACCGCTTGTAGTAGGGGCTCTATAGACAAAGCTTGTGTTTTGTACAATTTTCCACAATTTGTCACATTTTTGTTTGGGACTTTTTAAGCTAATGATGATGAGGGTCCACAGTGAGAGAAGACCTCAAATATGTGGGTGTTTGAGCCCCCACATCAGGGCTTCAACATAATGTACAGATTTAACCTTGAAGATAATTTTGTTGACCACTTCTTTTGACAATTTCGTAAACAATGTTTTTGTTAGAAAATGTGAGAATAATTATTATTAGGCGCCTGCTAACACATTGAAACCAATTTTCCTACAAAATCTTACAGAACTACTAAAGAAAATATGAATAGTTACTGTACTGTATTTGTGGTCTAAGCGTGCACAAATTTGAAGAATTAAAAAATGAAGCTTATATCTTAGTAACAAATAAAACTGTTAAAAACATTTGCTTTAAAATTAAACAGCATTTTTGCTATTATTAGAACTAGCCTCCCAATCAACGTAAAATTCCCAATAAATATTTATGTGGAATTCTTTTTTCAAGTTTATTCAAAGCTAATTAACATATTTAGCACTCATTTGCATATAATATTGGGCTTGTGTACATTTCTTTCATAACTCAAAAGATCGGGGTTTCTGCTTTAAAACACTAGTTGAGTATTGAGTATGAATTGCAAAAATTCATAATAGTTTTATTTGCCAAATGTGCCCTTTAATGTAATTTTCTTCTTCTTTCCCCAAAGCCCAATTTTCTTTTAAATTTCACTTGCCATAAATAGAAAAAAACCCTTAATATGCCTAACAACCGATAAAATTGTTATAGTCAATGCCATTAAAATACATTAAAACCCAAATAAACAAAATGCCAACAGACGCTAAAAATCCTTTACTTAGGCTTTGAAATGGTTTTAAAAAACATAACCCACTAAGTTGTTGACTGGTTGCCAACAAAATTGTGTATGCGATTTGAATTGCCAACAAACGCCCTCAATTTTGACCAACTGTACAAATAGTTTTGCCATTGACTAAAGCACTCGCACCCTCCACTCCTCTACCCAACCCTTTCAGGCATTTCATGTCTAGCTATCGAAATTGGTGGCAGCTTCGTGCCTCAAAGTCGACGACGTGTTCTGCCAAGCGTAACCGCTGACGGTTATTAAACTGTGTAAGAAAACAAAATACAAAGCACAAGACGCAAATAAGTAGTATGGTAGTATTATACTCATCTAAAAAGGTTATACAACTGTGATCAGAACCATTGCGTCGCGACGTTGGCAAGACAAACCCCTGAACTAAACTTCAAACTGAACAGACGGTGAAATTGTTTCAGGCATAGTTCCGCTTTTGACATCGAACACAACTTTACATACCGACATACACACACACCTTCAAAAGTATATACATTAGCCATAAGGTTGGCCTATTCTTTGTTTATGTTGTGCTTATTTGTAAAATACTTAGCTTGAAATTTTCTGCCCTGATGAAGACATAGTATTTAGGGTCGTTGAATTCAAATTGCGAAGGGAAGGGAGATCATCACACATTTTGTAATGGAACCTCTAATTGCTTGTGTCATGTGTTGCAATGCGATACGGTTCGATCCGATCTATGGTGTATATATTGGGTGCAGGAAATTAAATATGTTTGCGCCAAAATAGTTAAACATAATATAATGTGCGATAAAGAATATGCACATTCCATTATAAGTAGATAGTGATAAAAATATGTCTACTTAGGTTGCAGCATTGGAATGCGGTGTGTAGAATGCCTAATCAGTTAAGTGGCTAACGTGTTAGTATTTAGATAAACTTAAATGGATTGAATACTTCATTAATTGGAACAACTTTTATTCAGTTTTTGTATAGAACATGGTTATGCATCATAATTAATGACCATATACTCGTTTGTATAGCCATATCGCTCAAATTTTCTTGCTTACCATTTCTTCCATCATGTGTTCGTAAATAGCAAATGCTTCATAAATCTTGCCCCAGTCATAAATCATAACAAACAAGAAAGGAATGCTAAAGTCGAGCAGGCTCAACTCTTAAATACCCTGTACCACCCCACAAAAAAGTAATTAAATTAATTAATTAATTAAATTTAATTAATTAACTAAATTAATTTAATTAATTAACTAAATTAAATATAAAATATTCCATGCATGCATACATACATTTACATTTACATCAGAATCGTGCCTTATGCGTGTTTGTGTACTTGTACATATGTATGTATGTGTGCATTGGGCCTGGTTATATGGCTATAACTTTCATTCCGATCATTCTATCATAATGAGACTTGGTATACGGTTATATAATAACTAACCTAATGTGACTACCAAATAGTTAGTTCAAAATTCCAAGAATTACGGAAGTTATAGAAAATCGTTAATAGGGGGGGAGTGGGGGGGTGGATCAGAAAAAATGAACAAACTCGTCCTTTCTCGGTCTCAGGAGAATCTGTATACCAAGTTTGGTTATTCTAGCTCTTATACTTTCGGAGATCCTTGCGTTCATACAGACAGACAGACGGACAGACAGACGGACAGACAGACGGACAGACGGACAGACGGACAGACGGACAGACGGACATGGCTATATCGACTCGGCTTGTCATGCTGATCAAGAATATATATACTTTGTGGGGTCTACCAAGCCTCCTTCTGTGTGTTCCATGTGCACTCGCACAAAACTAATATACCCTTGTACCCTTTTGGGTACAGGGTATAAAAAGTGCGCATAAAATGTTAAACCAAAATTAGCCTGAAATTTGCGCCCAAAACTGAACATATTTGTTTATAGTTTCCAACGGAAACGCGTCTCGTTGCACAGCTGCATGCACTGCTTTTACGATGCCCTCCTCTACAGGGAAGCTGTAAACCCAATTCTAATTTTACAACATTTATGCTTTATTGTTTACAGAATCGCACGTACATCATACGTAAAGCCCATATACCTAGATATATACACACATATATATTACACACACATACGCAACATAAACGACGTCACACTGGAGTCACAAATTGTACCATAAACATTCCAACAAACGAAAGGAGCCCCAATAACTCCCTGCTTTCCCCCTCTGTACAGTATGTCACATGATAGAAAAATGTTGGATCGCGAAGCGGTACGTTCAGTGATACAACAATGGAACGCCAATCGTTTGGATCTATTTGCGCTCTCCGAACCAGATGAGGTAAGTGTGTTCTATTATATTGAATATATCTATCGAATTTGCTAATTTATTTCAATATTTTTGCAGAACCTGCTCTTCCATGGCGTTATGCGCTTTTATTTTCAAGATGCAGGCCAAAAGGTAGCCACTAAATGCATACGCGTCGCCTCCGATGCCACAGTTACAGATGTCATAGGTAAGTTGCAAGAAATATGACAAGAAGTGTTGTATTAAATTTTAACTCTCAACTCTATTCTCCTGTAGACACGCTTATTGAAAAGTTTCGGCCCGATATGCGCATGCTTTCGGTCCCAAATTATGCGCTCTATGAGGTGCATGCGAATGGCGAGGAGCGTCGTTTGAATGCCGATGAGAAACCCTTGCTGGTGCAACTTAATTGGCACATTGATGATCGCGAGGGTCGCTTTCTGCTCAAAAATATCGATCAGAAGACAACGGTAAGCACTTTTTAAAAAAAAAACTTTTCAATTGATATTAATTTCCTAATATTTACAGCCCATTGAGCAATCAGACTTGAACTTTAAGCGCAAGCTCTCCAAGCGCGAAAAGAAGGAGCAGAAGAAAAAGGAAAAGCTCGCCAAACTTACTTCAGATCCCAATTTAACAATGCATGGCGCTGCTGGTGCTGGCAGTGGCAGCAATTTGGGTCTGGGAGCCAATGGCCTCAGCTCCAGTGGTGCCACACATATGAACGGTACCGCTGGTGGTGGCGATGCTGGCGACGCTGTCGCTGGAAAACTATATACAGAATTGCCCGAAACATCATTCACACGCTCGATCTCAAATCCGGAGGCGGTAATGCGAAGGCGTCGGGTACAGAAACTGGAGAAGAAACTGCAACAGTTTCGTTCGCGAGATGGTGGACCAGATACGGGTGGTACGCTGAAAATATATGGCGAGAGCTTGTGCCAAGATGTGCCTTACAAGACGCTATTGCTCTCCATACGTGACTGTGCACAGGCAGTTGTACGTGAGATGTTGACCAAATATGGATTGGAGAAGGCGGATCCCTTGCATTATTGCTTAGTGCAGGTGGGCAGATAAACCGAGAATTTAATTTATACTTATATGTATTGTATGAAGAAATCGCTAAAGAGAAACAGTGTGCAAATAATTTTTTAAATTGATAGAATGTTTATAATTGAAAACTAGAAGCCATGAATTATTTGCATATTTTGACTCATCAGACATATATTCCATTTTAAATATTCTTAAAATGCAAAATGTGAAAAATTCAGGCTTTTTTGGAAGCAGATTGAAAGAATTTAGAATTTTAAAGTTAAATATCTATATGAAGTATATCTTTGAAGCTGAAAACAGCTTTCAATTTACATACAAAATAATCAAATAATAATGAATTCAGAAACGCGTATTGGTCTAATTAGTATTATCCATTAAATCTATGAACAATAATGCCATAAATTGGCCAAATTACTTTTGATAAGATGTTTGAGCTACACTTTTAGGAATCTTCTTTTATAGCCATAAAATTTGGCATTAAACTATAATTTTGCCACAATGCAGGACTTACAAAAGCTTAAATCGTCTTAGGGACCTGATAATAATGTTTGTGTATTGAAGATATTTGCGAAATGCAACGTTTAGTTCCTGAATTGAATGCTTTCCAAAAACATGGTCCTACTTTTTCTCATAGCGATATCCCATTCTGATTTTTATTGAATGATTTCATCCCTAATTGCTTAATGAATATCAATTTGCAGGTTAACAGCGATGGCACGGAATATATACTCGACGATGACGAGTGCCCGCTATCGATACTCATGAATCATCCCACGTCGCGCGGTAAGTTTTTCCATATCTCTGCCTTCGTTTTAGTGCATTGCCTGTTTGCGTGCAATTTAAAATCAATTTAGCAGCAAGTGAAGAACAGACAGCCAGGTAGACAGACAGGTAGGCAGACAGGTAGTTTGCGAGTGCCTTGAGCCATTCATAAATACTTTCTAACAATATTAGTCGACCGGCATTTCGGCCGAACTAACAATATACTTGTATGTGGAAAATGCCGGCATTTCATTTACATGCAATTAACTTTGTTTTATCAATAATTATGCTCGTTGTCTGCGCCATGACACGGCCACTAGTAGCAACTACAACAACAATAAATAACAACAATACATATCAACAATAACAAGTTATTGCTGTAGTGTTGCTATTTGCTTTTACAAGCTCTCATATTTCATATTTGACTCGATTTCTTTCCCTTTTCTTTTTCTACGATTTTACCCAAAATTCTTGAGCATTGCGTTGCTGGCTTTCAGTTGTTTGTTGGCATTTTTTCTGTGCGGTTAAGTGTTTGGTTCTGATTACCTGGCTTCGTATTAATATAATTATTACAAATATATGTTAAAACTATAACATAATATCTGCGATCAGTCATGCCTTATAAAATACGCAAGGATTTATGCAAGAGACTGCGTAAGTTGATGTTAAATTAAGACAAAAATGAGATATAACTCTTTTAGAATGCTAATGTTTTTCTAAGTAACACCTTAAAAAAACTATCCTTGAAGCATGCAATTGGCAAAACTGAACTAGTTATGGATATGTCATGGTCAGACACACAAATGAACTGCATACAAATTTACTTTATTTTGCCAGTAATCCTTGAAAACTAATTCATAAAAATGTTTGCTAATGAACAAAAAAAAAAATACATTTAAGTATTGAATTGTTTTTGCTTTTAATTAAACTAAGATTATTTTGAAAACTTAAGGATATTACCGATTATTGTATCATAATACTTCGACGTGAGTTAACGTTCGCGGTGAATCTGTGGTCATCAGAGAAAAGGTACCTTTCCGTAGGTTTGAAGGAAATTACTGAAATTTCTCGAAACACAACTTTGCAACAGATATGAGTCGTTTATCAGGAACTGTTCTAAGCAGTCATCCACACATTGTTGGAGACTTTGCCCGTTTAATAAGCAGTTTATGTGTGGTTTTAAGCATCGTGTATCTAAAGATAACTTTATATGTCTCTTGCGGATGTTTTAAAATATATAATATTGTAGACTAAACAACTCCTTTGCTTTGTTTTTCAACCAATTCTCTTAATAGCTTCTAAATTTGAAAACATCCCTCAAAGGAAACGCTTTAGTGGGAACTCAAACCATTTTTTTGTAGCAAGGATAACGACCTACAAGTATAGTGGTGAAAAAAGCTCAATGTGAGAAGCTTTTCTGGTGGTTGAATTTGAAATATGAAACATTCAACGTTCAAATACTAAGAAAACAGTCACGAAATTAAATTAATTGACCTATTTGTATTGGAAAGCAATTTAACAAATTTAATGTAAATCTATTTCTCATATAAATACATAAAAATGTTAAATCTTACTGTTAATTGCGAATTATTTCTATAAGCTTAGCTTCAATTTTTTTGTAAAGGTTTTCAAATATTACTTAATATTAGCACATAGTATGTACATACATAAGAGCGCAGGCGCAACAAAAATACAAAATTTATTAAAAAGCTAAAAGGGGCAGCACAAAGCAAATAACAGACAAAAGGCTTGTGGCCTTCCAGGCACACACACACTCACACACAGCGCAATGACACATGCAAATGAATTTGTTAACAAAAAGGCCGCTGGGAATTTTACGACGCCAAAGACGATGATGATCATGATGATGAGGACGACGATGACGACAAATGGCGCAACAATCAGACCGAAAAAAGGAACTTGGCCCAAAAATGTTAGCCAAGCTGGCTGACTAGCACACAGTCAGGCAGGCGGGTAGCATTTAACAACAATAAAGTAAAACGACAGGCATGAATGACATTTAAATAAGGCACGCACCCACACATATAAGCGTATATGTATGAGTATACATAGGTATAAGTATATATTCAGATATATACAAAACTTTTGCCGGAAATGTTGTAGCAATCAACAAGAGTAGCAACGAAAAAGGAAGAAAGAAAAAACGGCAGGAAGCCTAACAAAGAATTTTGAAAGCTGTTGGCGTTGCCATTGGTGGTCTCCTGTCGGCTCTGTCGTGTTCTTGTTGTGTGTGTGTGTGAGGAAGCCGCCTACACCGTGGTTACTTCCCCATAATAATGCCATTGCTGACAGAGGCGGTCTGCTTCTTTAGCAGCCACATGTTGACTGTTTGGCTTTGTGTGCGTGCTTGCCTTCTGTGCGAATTTGTAATTTAAAAGGTGTAAAGTAAATGCGGCCGCACTTCAATTTATTATTTATGCTAATGCAGGTACGCAATTTTCTTAAACATCTTTTGGCGCCGCCAGTCTATTTGTTCGCTTTTAGTGTTGCCTACTTTTGAGCGCACGGTAATAACTCACAATTTGCGCGTGCTTTGATGTGTGCGTACTTGTGTGTATGTGTGTGTAAGTGTCTGTTTGGCACGCAATGGAATGGCAACAGTTAATCTCATATACATACATATTTGGTTCTTCATGTTTTATTAACTAATACTAATATTAACTGTATGTAACACTTGGCTTTTGGCTTATGCTGTTTTCATTTAATTTTGAGCTTGTGTTCTCACCTTATCTTCAATTTGGGTCAACACTTTACGGTTGTTGTTGTTGTTATTGTTGATTTTCATGTTGTTGCTTGCACAACATTTATTCAGTTATATTTGTATTTGTGGATGACAACATTCCAATGCAATTGTCTCGCGTGAAAGCTTAACATAACTTTTTTAAACTACACTACTCCAGAATGTCTTGTACATACTCGCACGTAAACAAAATTACGTTATACATACATTCATACATATACGTGCCAAAGTACAGGTGAAATGCTTTAAATTGAATTTTTTTCGTTCACATTTTGATAGGAAATAATTGGAAAATATAGTTGGAAAGCTGGAAAAACGGCGTGTAATTCCGTCCCAGACTTCAATTAATATTCATTAAATTATAAAAAAATATAAAATCAAGTATATATTTGCAAACTGTACTTTCAATAAATATTTAAAGTAAGGCTACAGTCCTTTTCAAATAAGTTTTTTTCATATAATCTTATTCAACTTAATTCATATATTGAAATAATGTGGATATACGAGTATGTATATTCTCCAGCTGCTTAAGAGTATATTATTGATTACCCAGATTTGAATTGTTTACTTAAATAGCCCTTATATGTTGTCTACACATATAAAAATTCTATAAATTCATCCGCAGTTGTGGAATCTTCATCGCAATGTTTTTTTCCGTAACGTCAACCATTCAGTCCTTACTCTTTTTGAACTGAACATCTCTTGACAATTTAAGTTAACACACTTTTGAATCTTTAGAGCGAGGTTTGACTGTAAATTGAAGCCCGCTATCAGTTGGTACATATTCACTTATCTGCTCGCCGCTTCGTCTGATAAATGAACGCTTGGCATACTTACGCGCTACGACGACAACACCTGCGTCTGATTACAGAAATAACAACATACAAATTCTCATGAACACGGATACATATACACACACACATATACACACTTGACTCGACCAAATGAATTCCAGTTTACTACACTTATATTGCGGGAGGCCTTCAACCCGCAATCCTCACCTTCCACTCTTATAGTATGTCTGCCAATTCGTCTGTCTGCATACCAAAGGAAATAAAAGTTATAAAAGTTGGCTCGCATGCACGGATGCGTTTGTGTGTGTGCGTTGTATTTTTAACAGCATTTTGATGTACCAACCCACAATCGCCTGTTCGTTGTTTTTGTTGCTGTTACTATCGGCCCTACTGTTGCGCTCTTAGCCATTAAGGCTGCTCTTAATGTACTTTCAATATTTATAGCCGCAAGAGAGCTGTAGGTATTAGAATACTCTCTTACTCAATCTCTCTCTCTCTCTCTTTCGTTGCGGACTCTTCGGGCTATGGACGTATGTATTTTGGGTTTTCGCTTCGTGTGCTGCTTTGTCAGTGTCTGTTATTGTTGTCTTTTGTGAACAGTGGCGTTTCTCAGACTCTTGGATTAGGGTTCAAAGTATGTTCGTCCCATAGGTGATGTGGCAAATTGTTTGTGTAGGGTGCACAAGGCTTTTGGAGAAGACAAAAAGAGCTAAACTGAAATTTGTATTATACTTTACTTGAAGAGTAAAAAAAGTATGATGAAAGTATAAATACTTGAGCTTTTAAGTCCACTTCTATGTTGGGATTGCTGGCGTCTTAATTTAATCATTTATGTGAAGTCTTTGCAAATATTATTTCAAAAGCACAAACTGTATATTACATTAAGTAGCGCAATTTGAATTGAACAATGCTTTATATTTATTTATTATCAAACTTTTATATCATTGAACTAAAATGTTCATTCAATGCAAATATATCCATTGCAAGTTTTTTCAATTGAAGCAAGCAACTTATAAATAAAAGATCCTTTAGAAAAAACAGTTGATAAAAAAACAGGCTTAAACATTTTATTTTAGACATGCCTTTTCGTTTGTATGCTTTTACCTATGTCGACCCAATATGGAGTCATCATCTAATTTGAATTTATATTTACCTGAAACTGTAGTCTACTTTTATGCTTAGTGGTGAGTGCCCACTCTTAAAACGAAGGATAGTTAACGTTTTCTATTAGTTCGTATTCTCTATTCCCACAACATGGTCCCAATGTCTCACTCCATCAAATTTGTAGCGTCATTAGTTCACCATCTGGCCGATTGTAGTTAGTCAGAAGTGCCGGTCATACACTTGTACCTTTCATTTGCACGCTTGCTCTCTCATCGCTTTGTTTGTGCGTGTCTTGTGAAGGATAATGACATTTTTTATGGCTACATTTTCAAATGCGAAACACTAGACCAGCGACGCCACCT